TGTCTGAGTCAGTTCACGAACCAGAGATCTCTGGCACTGTAATCAATAGTTTTTTTGTATTTTTTCGTTTTTCATCATCCATAGGATTGAAAAGCCTAAAATTTAGATAATCTGTACAGAGTTTTAAAAATTCTCGGAGTTGAAATTTTTTACTGTCTTGCTTTTTATTGCTATGTTTTAGGCCTAGGCACGATCAGTTTGTTGGGCTTAACTTCGCCGAATGCATCATTCAGTCAAATGCTTACAACTTTTGGTTTAGCCGGGATTGTGGGTAAGTTTTTGACTTGAACTTTAAGCAGAAAGGTATATGAACAAAAAATGCAATAATCAAAATAAAAAAAAAGGAAGGTAAGAAATGAGAATTGGAAAATTAGAAAATTTGTGAAACTGTTATTGTAATGATAAGAGATATTTCGGTCCGTTAAGTCGTATACATTTCTTGTCATTACCAAAATTGAACCTCGTCAGTACGACGATTGTGGTAATTGAAATTGGTAAAAGTAAAAAGCCGTCAGAAGGATGAAGCAGTGACGCATCTGTGATTTTCTCCGTAATTTACGCTCACCATCTCTATGACATTGATCATAAATATGCCCGTGTATTGCGAGTGGTTTTTTTTTTCAAAATCATAAAATTTTGAAGAATTTTTTTTTAGGTTACCATACGGTCTGGGAAGTGGTACCGGCCCTGCATTCACCACTGATGTCAGTGACCAATGCAATTTCGGGTATTACGGCTGCGGCAGCGGTTTGTGTGATGGGTGGTGGACTGTATCCAACAAATTCAGCACAAGCACTAGCAGCAGCTGCCACGTTCTTTTCCGCTATCAATATTGGCGGTGGTTTCCTGATCACAAAACGAATGCTCGATATGTTCTGGAGGCCAAGTGAGCTCTACTGGTTTTCTTTTTTCAATATTGTTAGATATCCGGAACAGCTCTGTACTTGTTTTTTGATTCCATCACTATGCAGCTGACAGCTTTTCCAGTTGCTTTGACTAGCACTGCATTGCCTGGTATTCGGCCTACTAGCGATTTTGGCGCCCATTTCGTCTGCTGGAGGGATTACCAACTTCAGCAGTACATCCAGCAGAGGTTTCTGGAGTGCTGAGATAAAAGTGGGTGACAAAGTTCACTGGTTGTTCAGATATGTCTTTCCTAAATGTTAAAATCGCCATCTCGCCCTGAATGTTTTGACTACTGAACCGGAATAGGGCACTTTACCGACAAATAGCTATCGTTATATTTCCGGTAGAATATTCAAAAAAAAAATCTACAGAAAATGTTTTCCGTGAATTATACGACCAAGAATAATAAAACTTTCCAGACAGTGATGTGAGGATTCCATGTTAATGATGTTACTGGAATGCTTAGAAAATGTGGAACACAGAGTATTCTATTAATTATCAGTTAATTAATTATTAATTCTAATTAATAAAATAAACAGTTCTATTATTAACAAAATGCTAAAAATCTCTGATCTTAGGCTGCATACCTCCAGTTAGTACTCTCCGCTGCTGAAGTTGTTTAAAATTGACGAAAATTTAGATATTACTTTCACGATAAACCAACACTTCATTCATATGATGGGTATATGTCCGCTTATGATTGTCAAACTATTAATACAGTGTAACTTATTTTCAGCCGATCCACCGGAATATAATTATCTGTACGCAATTCCGGGAGCGGCATTTCTAGGTGCATACGGATACGGCCTGAAG